TTTGTTCATCAGTTTATTTTGTTCATTAGATTCCACATATGAGTGAGATCATGTGATATTTATCTTTCTCTGACTGGCTTATTTTGCTTAGCATAATGCTCTCCAGATCTATCCAGAAAGGATATATGCACCCTTATGTTCATAGCAGCACAATTTATAATAGCTAAGATTTGGGATCAGCCTAAGTGCCCATCAGCAGATGAGTGGATTAAAAAGCTGTGGTACATCTACACAATGGGATACTATGCTGCTATAAAAAAAAAAGGAGGAGTAATTTCTTATTAACATGAAGTTTATTATAAAAGATGCCACTAAATGTTGATTTTTTTAAAACATATTTTTATTGATTTCAGAGAGGAAGGGAGTGAGATATACAGAAACATCATTGAGGAGAGATAATCATTGATTGGCTGCCTCCTGCATGCCCCACACAGGGGATGGAGCCCACAACCTGGACATGTACCCTGAATAGTAATCCAACTGTGATCTCCTCATCATAGCTTGACACTAACCCACTGGGCTATGCCAGCAGAGCTAAAATGGTTTATATTTGACTTCAGGTGCATTCTGTAGTTTTATTCATAAAATTGTCCATACTCAGAGCTCAATAATTGCTCATAATTTGACATATATGAATGTCTACATATTAGAGATCAAATGCATGGCACCTGGGTCCTAGCTGTTGCAAAAATATAAGCTCTCAAAATATAAGCACATGAGTTAGTTTCCCTGGTACAGAATCCACAAGAGCACAGAGATTAGAATAGCTCATTATGGCCCTGGCTGCTGTGGTTCAGTGCTTAGAGCATCAGCCCATGCCCCACGGGGCCGTCGGATTAATTCCCAGTCAAGGGTCACAGGTGTGATCCCTGGCCCCTGTCAGGCCTTGTGTCTCTCTCACACTAATGTTTTTCTCTTCCTCTCCCTCTCTCCCCATCCTCTTGTCCCTTTTACTCTCTTTGAATATCAATGGAAAAAATATCCTCTGGTGAGGATTTTAAATGAATAAAGACTCCCCATTTTCCAAATTGTGAGCCCATATTTCTGCTCAATCCTGAATTCTCCAGGCAAAGCCAAACTGTGATCCAAAGTGACTCAGAAGCAAAGTCTAGACTCAAACTTCCCAAGGAGCTTGAAAGAATCCATGAAAGCAGACAGGACCCTTCTCCAACAGAGAAAGGGTTTGTGGAGGGACTGGTAGCAGTTAGGTCATGAGAAAGGGGAGAGCTATGGGGACGCTGGGCTTGGGTGGCATCAACTCCTCACACATCCCAATTCTTTCTGGTTCTCAGGAGCAGCCCACACCATCAGCCCATCACAGAACAACTCAGACCCCAAGAGTGGTGAGTAGGAGACACTCTCTGTTGTGGGCTCAGTACAGATGGTCGTGTCCTGTCAAGGGGAGGTCGATGACCTGGGTGGACATCCAGGGTCCTAGGATTACTTTGTCCTGCCCTGACCTCTGTGACCTCTTTGCCTACAATTCCCAGCCTCCCACTCCCAAGACTATACCGTGGAGAATTCCATCCGGATGGGCGTGGCTGGATTGGTCCTGTTGGCCCTCGGGGTGCTGCTATTTTGGTCTCGAAAGAA